TGCTTTCATCATTTCCATTCAACATTCTGCTGAAAGTTCTAGCCAGAGCAATCAGACAAGAAAAAGATATAGAAGGCAAATTAGAAAGAAGTAAAGCTATTTCACGGATGAAATAATCTTCCATAGAAAATCCTAAAGAATCAATTTTTAAAATCTGTTAGACCTACTAGACCAACGCAGTAAATTTGAAGGATACAGGAAAAATATAAAAATATCACTTGTATTTATACACACTAGCAGTGAAAAATTTGAAAATGAAATTAAGAAAAGTTTCATTTACAACAGAATTTAAATAATAAAATAACCTAGGATTGAATATAGACAATGAGGTGAAAGAGATTACACTTAGAACTACAAAATATTGCCTAAAGAAATTAAAACAGACCTGAATAAATGGAAAGACATTCCAATTATTAAAATGGCAATGGGAAATTTCCATGAGCTAAGATCTGGCAATTATTTATGAAATTTGACAGCAAAAGCACAAGTAACAAAAGAAAACAGATCAATTGGGAGGCGGGGACACAACATCCATAAGGGTACCTGATTTCAAACCAGGCAAAGTGGAGACCAAAGAGAGGCCCAAACTTTACCTGTATGATATCCACTTGCATATCTAAGCCTGAATTGTACTCCACATCTTTAAAATAAATAGAATAAAATAAAATAAAATAGATGACTTGGACTTGGATAAAATTTAAAGGCTTATGCAGCAAAGATCATTATCAAGAGAGTAAAAAGACCACCCACACAATGGGAAATAATATTTGCAAATCATATATCTGATAAGGTCCCAGTGTCCATAGTATATAAAGATCTTTTACAACTCAATCCAAGATTAAAAAGACAACCCAGTTAAAAATTGGGCAAAGGACATTTCTCCAAAAACAACACACAAATTACCCAGAAACACATGAAAATATGCTCACCATTATTCAGTAGGGAAATGTAAATTAAAACCACAATGAGATCCTACTTCATATTTCCTACAACAGTTAGAATTTAAAAATGGACAAAATCAATTGTAGACAAGCATGTGGAGAAACTGGACATATGGTACATTGCTGGCGGAAGTGCAAAATGGCGCAGCTGCTGTGGAAAACAGGCAGTTCTCAAATTTAAATATAGAATCACCATATGACCCAGCAATTCCATTCCTGGGTCCACACTCAAAGGAACTGAAAACAGGTGTTCACACAAAATCTTGTCCAGGAATGTTCATAGTGGCACTATTCACAAGAGTGTAAATTTGGAATGGTGAAAGGTGGGTGGCAACAAACCTTATGTCCGATATTTGATGAATGGATGAGCAAAATATGGTCCATACATACAAAGCATTATTCAGCCATAAAAAGAGTGTAGTGCTGATACATGGTGCTGATACATAGGTAAGCCTTGAAAACATGATGTGAAGTGAAGGAAGCCTCTTCAAATATTCAAGTCCATAGAGACAGCAGGTTAGTGGTTGCTGAGGGGTGGTGGGAAGAAGGAATCAGGAGTGACTGCTTGATTAGTACAGGGTTTCTTTTTTTTTTTTTTGAGTTGGAGTCTCACTCCGTCACCCAGACTGGAGGGCAGTGGCCGCACCCGGCCCCCGCAGCCTCGACCTGCTGGGCTCCGGCGATCCTTCTGCCTCAGCCTTCCAAGTAGCCGCAACTACAGGTGTGCGCTACCACGCCCGGCTGATTTAGGGTTTCTTTTTGAGGTGATAACAATTTTTGGAAAACTTTTGAAAACTAGCTAGTGGTGATGGTCACTGTTCAAAATGACCCTGAACTGGAAAACTTAAATAGTTAGCATGATAAAAATTGTTATGTATATTTTACCACAGTAAAAAAAAAAAAAAAACCAACAACTGATTCTTTGGGAAAGAAACAAAAATGACAGAATTATTAGAATGCACAAATGCACAATCACAAAGGGAATGTCATATATACTCATTAACTGAGGCATCAAGCAGATAGCAAACAGGGATATAAATATTGCAACAATACAATTTCGGCAGCATAGAAATTCTTCTTCAGGAAATATATTTATAAAATTTGACAAGACAAATCTTAACAAATATGGGTACCTTAGAACCCGTAGTTGCCCAATCATATATCTTTACTACAGTTTAGGGTGCAAATCAATAAAAAAAAATGTAGTTTAAAAATGAAATAAAGAGAATGGGAAAGGGTCCAAAGGATTCTTCCCTCCAAGTGAGGGAGTCAGAATTAGGAAAATTCTGTCGGATCTGAATAGAAAGAACGTTATTAGTGTTAGGTTGGTGAGCTGATTCGGTGCCACTGGTATGCAAAGAATTGCATAGAGCCAGAAAAAAAGGTTTATTAGCTCTCCATGAGAGGAGAGAGCCAGACGGTGAAGGAGACGCTGGTTCTGAATGTCTAAGCCTGGGGGCTTATAAAGCTTTTTGGGTGAGAGAACTGGCTCCCCGGTGACGGTCTGTTTCCTTGTATCTCTGACTATAGGATAGATGGGGGTGATTATCCATTTTGAAGGGGTGGTCATCAGTTAGGTAGAGGAGAAGGGCTGGACGGGTAGCTGAAAGACAAATTCTTGGGAGACGCTGATCTTAGCATCTTGTGACTCAGTGGAATGAAGTCGACCTGGGGACCGGAAGACTGGTTGTTCTCCTAGTTAATGAGTATTGCTGTGTATGCAGCATTGACCTAAGTACATGACCCAGTCGGCTCAAGGTTGGTGACCAGAGAAATTCCATTTGGGGTTCTGTCCTTTCCATGAGGTGGTGTGTTTTGATTTGATAGTTAAATCTGGTGTGGAGACTATGATTGTGAATAGCATGAATTGGTAGTGGCAGGTGTAATCGGGCAAAGACCCCCTCGAAGGAGGCTATACTCTCTCTCCAATATTGAAATCTCTGCCCATCTTCTACTTGGTTTTGTGTGTTGCACACATAACCCTTAAGGACGTCAACCTCCTCAAAGATCTTCAGAAGCAGATGAGATGCCTTGTTTAATTTCTCCGATCAAAAGGTTCCTGTCAGTAGTTCTTCAAAGTGTTATGCCCAAGACTGGATCTCGGTACTCAAGGAGCTTACCAACATATGACTTTAAAGACACGTGGCCATCGCCTTACTAGACTCTGATATGGCCGTGTGCCCTTGGAGCTACGGCCGCCGCCATGTTCCCTGGCTTTGGTCCCCTCCCCTCCCTTGAGGCGAACCTCGTCTCTAATTTACTTTCTAAATAAACTATATTTTCTAATCTTAAAAAGAAAAGAAAAGATAACGCTTGGCCGGGCACAGTGGCTCGGGCCTGCCGCTCCAACCCTTGAGGATCCCTCGAGGCCAGGCGACTGGAGACCAGCCTGGGCAACACAGCCAAACGCTTTCCCTGCAAAAAGCACAAAAGTTCGCCAGGCGTGGTGATGCGTGCCTGTGGCCCCAGGTACTAGGAGGGCCGAGGCAGGAAGGCTCCCAGGAGCGGAGGCTACGACTGCACGCACCAGTGCGCTCCAGCCTCTGCGGTCGATCGAGACCCCGTAGCAGAAATACATAAATAGAAAAAGCTTAACGCGACTGAACCGGCCACACAACGGGCTGTTTAGGGAATGCAGATTGTTTTTCCCGGCAGCCGAACGCCGCGGGAAAAGGGCGTGCCCACGGATTTAAAAGCCCGCCAAACGCCGGGCCTGCAGACTTGGAGCTGCGTGGGCCTGGGTGGGTTCTAAGACTCCGGGCTCTCCGGGGGACCCGGGGGCGGAGACCCCGCCGGTGCGGAGGCGCGACCGGAGGCCGAAGCGCCGCAACTCCCGCAGCCTCAACTCACCCACGGGCGGGAAGCGCAGCCCCGCGGC